TAATTATATGAAAAATGTGGTTAAGAAAGAAACCAAAACTGGTGATGCCTGGTGTCAAGAAAACATGCCACACACACCAAAAAAAGTAGTTAGTCTTGAACAGAGAAGCAAAATTTTCCAATTAATGGAATATGTGAAGAAATACAAATATATGCTAAGTGAGGATGATACAACAGAAGTTTTCTTTGTGATGACAATGCCTCAATCATCAATCAATTAATGAACAGCAAAATCTATAGCACCATTTTAAAATACAGGATAGTGAAGAAAATGACTAAATTATTATTATTATTATTGAGAACTGAGAATGAAAAGAATTCAGTGGACAATTTAGTGGGAATTTTCAACATGCCAACTGAAAGATCTGAAGGATAGGAATTTGTAATTGAACAAAAAAATATAATGCTCTATAAAAAGACACAATTAATATATAAAAAGAAATTGTTTAAATAATTTATGATGAAAGAAATATTTAATAAAAGTAAATAAATATTAACACTGAAACTTTGTATATAAGTTTTAGTTCCCTTAACCACTTGTTTCATTTTCCTGTCATACTGAGACCAAAAATAAGCATATTTTTTATAAATAATTTTATATTCAAATCGATTACATGAATTTAAATCAGCAGTCAAAACTGTTTCAAGTAATACATTTATTAATTAAGATAATTTTTAATTATGGCAAAAATAAGCCTTTTTTTTTTTTTTTTTTTTTTTTTGACAAAGGAGCAGAACTGGAAAGAACACTTTAAGGAGATAAATGTTAGAGAAAAACATGTATTTTTTAAAGACTTACATTTCTATTTCTTTTCAAAATTCAACTTTGGTATGATGTATTTTAAAAGATGGTGATAAGCAGAGTGCAATATGGACAAAAATATCGTTTCTTTTCTGACATGTTTTCCATTATCATTCCATTTTGAACACAGAAAGCCTAAACAAAAAGCAGTAAAACCTGTCCTTGAACAAGTTTTACAATTCAATCTCTTTTGTACTACTAGAGACATTTATTAGAAACATTGCAAAGTAAAAAATGTGAAAAAGGCAAGCAAATAAACGGATTGGTAGAGGAAAATATACTACTGAGCGGTATATGGGCAAGCCAGAGAAGTTCTCTTTCGTGGCATCCAATGATGCAAAACTGTTAAGTGTTTAAGTGATAAAAATGCTTTATTACTTCATGAACAGCCACTTCATAATTTAAATTTTATAATTTATACATGACATTATAAAATTTGAGTTATGAATTACTGAAGTTCTCATAATTCTAGATCTTGAAATTCGTACTGTATCACTTATAAGCTATTATTCAAGCTCATGGATACAGTACACACATAGCATACAGTTTGGACTTGATACACCCATGAAAACAAAAAGAACAAACTCAGGCTATTAGGTTGGAAGCTCCAAATTGCAAAATGAAATATCTAAGGAACATAGCTTGAAAAATATCTCCTTATTCTTGCTAGTATTGTATTAAACCATCACTTCCATATCTCTTTGTGGTGCAGTTGGAAAGCATATCCAGCTAGCATTCAGAAAGTCTGGACCTTCAAATTCCGGTGAGGGCATTGTACATTCACTGCCCAGAAAATATAATGGTTAATGACGCTGATTGACTGAATGAACAGCCCAAATTTGAATCCCACAGAAGGCAAGAATGTTTGTAAGCATATAGTGTCTGTGCAATAAGGGAGCACTTAAAATATATGGCATTTGAATATTCTCTTAAAAGGAAGGTGAAGAGGGGTGGGAGAACCTTGGACCGCACTTTGGGGTGTTTTCCCTCTGAATCTCAACCAGGGCAGAAACTTAGTAGTTACCAAGGCTCAGTGACACCTAATGTGCCTACTTGGATGCATAGGTGCAGTCCTTACTTGTAACAGGATAACATCACCTTATTAGAGCTGATGTTTAGTATTAAGCATATTGCTGTGCTGCATCATGTTATGTAAATTTTCCTGCACAAATGCATTCACTCTTATGGAAACTATGATTCTAAAGCAATTTTCATTACCTGTACAAGGTCTGTCTAAAAAAGCATTTGACCTTTGGCTGGGAAAAGTATATTACTTACTTGACAAGATTGGGACTTTATTCCCCTACAAAAGTAGGCTGCTTACACCAACACACATAGCCCACCACTCCTTCCACTGCCGAAAACACTTCTGAAAGGTTTTTTTGGAAACGCGTTCTGTATTATCTCTTCTCTGTTTTGAAAACAGAATCATTTCAAAGTCATCTTCAATTCTGGAAACAACCAGAAGTTGCAAGGAGCCATGGCTGGAGAGCAGGGAGGGTGGTGAAAGACTGAAATTCCATGTTTTGCCGAGGTCTGTATCAGGTGTGATGAATGGAAATGGAGCACTGTCGTGATGCAACTGCCAGTTTTACACCATCTGGAGATCTGGTCTTTTGTGCTGAACTGCATAATGGAGTTGGCAGAGAAATTCATAATAGTATTCCTTTATCACCATTTGTTTTTCTAGTGCATATCTGTGATACACAGTTCCTTAGATATAAAAAAACCACAGTTAGCATGACTTTGATTTTGCTTCTCACCTGTAACATTTTTTTTCAGACTTGGGGAACTGGGATGCTTCCATTGTGACAACTGTGCTTTTGCTTCCAGATCATATGCATACACCCATAACTCATCTCCAATTATCATGGTATTCAGAAACTCAGGATCAGTGTCCCTAGTGTTCAACAGGTCTTCGGGAACCTTAAGACAGAGTTCTTTTTGTTCTGTTGATAAAAGATTGGTCACAAATTTTGCAACTACTCTGTACATGTTCACATCATCATGCAAAACTGCATGTGCAGAAGCTTTGTCACTCTCAACTTCTTCAACAATCTCTAGTACGGTCAAACTACAATCTCCTACTATTAGATTTTCTACCCTTTCAACAACAGCTGCATTCCAAGCAGTTTGTGGTCTCTCTGAATGTTGATCATTATCCACTGATTTTTGAATCAATTGAACCACTTCTTAATGTGTTACTCCCATAGAATCATCTCCAAATACCTGATGAATCTTATTAATTGTTTCACTTTGAGAATCACCACGTTTTTGACAAAATTTGATGCAGTACTCTTGTTCAATTTGTTCAGTCATTTTATTTTAAGAGAAATCAAAATCCAACAAACACTTATAAGAACAATTCACTCAATGGTCAGTAGGCAATGATTGTTAGTGGAACGCCAAGAAAAAGTTCAAGCATGCACAATAAGCTGTTTCTTGCACTATGCATAATGGTGCCAGTCTATCATGGGACTACCATGCATGGGAAAATTAGAGGTCAAGTACTTTTTAACAGACCTTGTATATTTCTCAATAAATTACAATACATCTTCTTTTCATTTCTAATAAGATTATTGTAAACTTCTGCCACACTTCCTCATAACATTGCTTTAAAGACCATTACACTGAAATTACTGCAGTTACATTGACTTAGCCTTTTTTGGGGGGAGGTAAAAACCTGATTTAGTGTGATATACCTTAAAATAAGGCATGAGGAACAGTCAACATCACAGTCCAGGGGACAAAAGTTCTACTTCTTTTACTGCTGTCATATTTCTTGAGTGAACATATACAGCACTGTGTTGTGGGTATTAATTTTTTCCTTCATCTTTTCAAATAACCTCTAAAAAAAGCCTTTCTCCTAATGTTAGTGGAGATGGTAACTATACAGGAAGACCTTTAATTTATCTTTTACTGTTGCATGCCTTTTAGTCAGTCAAATGATAATATCCAATTCAAATTGTAAATTTATATCTTTATTATCATGTTTTTTATAATAAAATTGAAATCATCTAAAGAAACTTCAGTACCCCAGGTTCATGTAAATGAATCAGAATCTGAAATGTCCTAGAACCTCAGGTTCCAGGACATTTCAGATTCTGATATCAAATCACGGTCTGAATAAGAAGAAATTAGCTGCATACATTCTGAATCAGCCATTATTTTATGATAAAAAAAACAGTTTTAACTACTCGTACATAAATAAAGTTACAAAATCAACAGTAAAATACATGTGAAAAGCTAAGGACTGAAAGATAAAAATTTTTTGAGTCATGCAAAAGGCATGAAATGTGTGCACTTTTGAACCAACTGAAATAGAGCAAAATAGACTTTATAAACTAACTGCTATCTAATTTGGTATTAAAAATATAAAAGACATAAGCAAAACAGTAAAAGCAACAGAGAAATGAGACTGCCCTAACAGCTTACGGGGCTATCAATAAAGGCCCGAAAGCGTCTCTATAGCACACAGGCAAAAGAAGCAAGTGGTTAACTTAGCATGTCCAAAAGTAGTCAAGAGGGTAAAACCACTATAATATATTTATTTTAGGTTTGATTCCTCCAGGAAATAGATTATATATCTCCTGTTTTTTCTATGTATGCAAATACAACATTATAGTTTGTGATGGCCACTTATTTAGCTACATAATAAAATTAAACATATGATATATTAAGTGTGAAACACCTGGACTACAGTCCTAAAGACACAATGAAATGATAAAAAGTAAAAGAGAAAACTGCAATTTCTAATTACTTGAAAAGTGTATTAATGGTCAATACTCATTTTAAACTAGACATAAAGAAGTTAATTAGTTAAAAATTAAAAGAAAATATTTAATTTGATGGCAAGATTTATGAAGAATTTTCATTCAGATAATTTAATTACTAACTTCTTAACAGCACTATTCATGGAAGATTACAATTTCATTCCTTACATACTTTAAATTAAATTCTATTTAACAACAGAACTCAAATTTAATTAATATTGTTTGCACATCTGTGTGTATAAACACATAAAGATTACAGAGAGCTATATATTTTTTCACATCTTCTGCAACATGAAACACAGAAAATTCTGTTTTATACACATAAAGATTACAGAGAGCTATATATTTTTTCACATCTTCTGCAACATGAAACACAGAAAATTCTGTTTTATACATATTATTTTTTTATCAACACATATATATTACCTGTCAGCCCATGGCATAATCGACCTAACTGTTTGGAAACAACAGGTAGTGTTGAATCTTTAGAACTGAGAGAATTTTCACAGAATTTCTTAACCAAGGGAATAATTGCTTGGGTACAAGTATCTATGGATAAAAATTAATTCATGAATTGTTATTTCAAAACTTAATTTAAATTTAATAAATTATTATGCAAGATTATCTAAAAAAGAAAAATTTAATAAATTATAATTATTATTAGAAAAATTTAATAAATTATAATGCAAGATTATCTAAACATAGAAAGAGCATAAATACAGTTACATGAAAATTAAATTATATGAATATTACTTACCATTTTTTTGCCCAAAACAGTGCAGGAACAGCAAAGAAAAAATTTGATAAAAAAGAAGCTTAGCAGAAAAGCAGAAAATATTAATAGCAAAGAATAAAATATGAAATGAAATGCAGTGCAAATAAACAGCATAATACTTTAAAATATAAGCTAGTTTTAAATAAGTGCTCTTCTACATAAAATTTTTTTTTGCAAATACAGTCAACTCCCAATTATCCGGAGACAGATTAACAACACCATGTTTAAAAAATAATTTATTTATTGTGAAGCAATGGAAAAATTATTATCCCAAACCATGTTAGTATACAACAAAATGTCATAATGAAAAATGTATGGGATACAGCAGTAAAAGTAGACAGTCTCATAATATTTTAGAGTTATTTTGAATCTAAATAGTCCACAATTTAACTATCCATTTTGTGATGGACGCCTAGTCATCGAGCTGCTCTCTTGAGACAGGACGCTAACAGGAGGCATTGTCACTAACAGGAGGTATAACCTGCAGGCGCTAACAGAATAGGCAATTTGCACTGCAAAGCCTAATTTTGGAAAAAAAAAAATAATAATAATAATAATTCTCATAGATTAAATTTATGGTTCAATTGCGTTGATTTTTGGCACATTTCGAAAGAATTTATTTAATTATTATTACTCAAGTATTACTCAAGTCTTAATTTAATTATTATTACTCAAGTAGTTGTCAGATTTAATTTGAAAACTTTGAGAAATCTGAACTCTGCTCTATAAGAAACAAAATGATACAACTGACATTTTTATTCAAGTTTGAGTTCAATGACAATGTTCAGGTTCTTTTGTCAATGTTGTTCTTTAATGCAAAACTTCCTACCCAATGATTTCTATTCTTTCATTACTTGTTTTAAACACTAATTTATGCAATAGATTGAAAATATTCCTGAGATTAAACTACTTGAAAGTAAATTGTTAATAGTGTTCTTTTTTTAATTACTGTATACTTCCAAATATAAGCCTATCTGTGTATAAGGCGAAAATGGGGGGAAAAATACTATTAATGTTCAGACATGTCATGATGAGGGTGAAAATTTTGTCAATCAGGTAACAGGGTAGAATATTATTCAATCAAATTGCTGCAAAGTAAAATGTCAAATGCCAATGATGACAGTTTTAACTCTGGTAACTCTATTTGAAACTAGTACACTTTCCTCATTCATTTATCATCTTATATAAGATCTGTGGTTTCTGTGCCATTTTGTTTTTTGTTTGAAGGGTGAGGGAGAAGAGAAATTTTTCTATGGCAAATTTAAAAATACAGATAATCAAATTTGCTTAAAACTCTACCAACAGTATGGCTGCATGTGTATAGCATTTCTCTTAAACTAAAACACGAATTTGAGAGTGAAGAAAAAAAAAAAAAAAAAGGTCTTGAATTATCGAAGATGCGAAAATCCAAAAAACTAGCATGCTGTCATTTTCCATTAGCCAGGTAAAAATTTTGCCAACATCAGATTTTTCGTTTAGACGGTGACGCAAAGAACCATCAATATAAACAATTTCAAGAATAAAACAACTCATTTTCACAAAATGAATAACTCGTTTCCTTTAAAATTAAATTTTTTTCATAAATGTAAGAAATATACTAAAGAAATAAAAAAAATGCTATATCTGGCAATTTATCACTGGTGCCCAATTAATGGAAAAGTATCTACATGTTTTGCGAGATAAATAGATCCATGTACAAGACAAATCCCAAAATTTAACTTTAAAAAATGTTTCAAATGTTGACTTATACACGGAAATATAGTATATAATACATATTATTCCTCTTTCCTATGTTCTATTAACTGCGATTAACAGATAACCATGGATGTCATCCCCAGTAAATCAGGAGTCTACTGTACAGTAATATTATACCATTATATATTTCAACTAAAACAACTGTAAATAAAACATGCTCACAGATACAAAATAATATTCTTAATTTAATTATTATTCTTTTATACCACTATAAATTAGAAGATAATAAAATGGAATTAAAAATATCATTCCAGTTAAAAACTTCACAGTTCAAAATACCAATAAATTGTCTATAAATATACTATCAACATATAAAAATTTACCATCATCTAATATCGGCACCATTTGTACAACAGTTTCTATACCAGCAAGTCGCACAAAAGTTTCCTCATCATTAGCTAATTCTACAAGCTCAGGCAAAATTGCACTTTTGGTAGCTTCAAGCCTGCAAATAATACAAATATGTGATATAAACGAATTCAGAATGTAAGATAATATATTGATAAAATATTAAAAGCAATAAAATTGCAAAAGCAATAAAAGTGCAATATGTTTAAATATACAGTAAAAGCTCAAATATCTGCGAAGCTCAGGAAATGCCTAATGATGGATACATGAAAATTGCAGATAGTTGAGTGTATAAAAAATGGAATTCATGTTAAAGAAGCCAAATTAGCTGGCACAATTTCTGCTCTTAAATTATAAAAAAACGCATCTCATTTGCTATCAACTTGAATATCAAAAGCCGTTACTTAAAATTAATTTTGGAGTGTAGGTGTGTGTGTGTGTGAGGAAAGCATTTCAATCTTATCAAGGTCGATGCATTTCATAGGCTAGAGTTATGAAATCCCAAATCCCACTGAACATGAAAAGTTGGAGGAGATGTTACCAGTTACTCCAACAGTAGTTTAAATGAGCATATGATTCTTTATTTAATTAAAAATAAGTGATACAAACAACGAATAAAGCATATAATAAATAAAATAAAATTCTGAAAGCTTATTCTGAAATGATTTTACATTATGCCCAAGGGACTTTTTTTAACGTTTTGTGTACTACCTTTATTTATTAAATATCATGTTTTTTTCACTTAAACCATAAAATTCAATTGAAGAGCAATATCACAAAATTAATTTAAAATAAACGTATCTTTAGAATTTCTGATACACGGTCTCACGAACTGGAGATAAAAATGTTGAAGATTACGTTATTCAAAATTTAATGTCTCTAGGTACCACTGTTTTAGCACAATGCAAGAAACATACATGCATTTATGCAGATTCTTCATTACTTAATTTCTTTAAACACAATGCAGGGTTCTAATATTTGGTGGCAACAATTTGGAAAGTGAACCGACATTTAAAGTTTTCAATGCAAAATGCCAAAATGAAATTAACAGCCCTTTTGGTCTAACGCCCTTTGGGTTAAAAAACTTAAATCACTCATCATAACTTTTTATATTATAGTATATAAAAAGTTATGATGACTTAAGATTTATCATGGCTCTTTTTGATGTAACTTTGAGAATACTCCACTTCATGTAGTCCCAAATATGAATAATTTCTTTCATAATGTGAGGAAAAATATAACTTATATCCTTCTTTACAAAAATTGAATTGGCTTTATCAAGAATTAATTGAATTTACATTAACCCAAAATGAACTTCGTTCGACTGGTATGGGACGTCATAGTTATCCAACTAGTAGCATTAAATCACACTTGTTTGCTGACAATGTACGTATGTTAATAGTATTACAAGTTCTATAATAGCATTACAAATCTCTAATTTAGTATTTTTTTTTCCCCTTAAACAGTAAAATATTCCGGTTAGTTGAATGCTGGATAGTCAGGCTTTTACTGTACTACAACTTTATAATAAAAAAAAAGGAGTGGGGAGAAAACTGTAGTCTGAAAATTATAGATTACTGTAGTTCTCAACTCCCCCCCTAGTCTTGAAAAGTTAAATAAATGCCTGCCCTTTCCCCCTCTCCTCGGTTGTGAACCACTGGTCTCACACCTCAAATAAAAGTTTTCTAATAAACTTTTTTTTTTTTTTTTTTTTTTTTTTTTTTTTTTTTTGAAGAGGGGGTTAAAAAGTATGAAAAAACTAAAATCTGATTTTTTATCTTCAAATATATGCTTAAATCCTGAAACAGTTTTAAGCGATATAGTAGTTAATATATGCCTAATGTTTAAGAATCAATCTGTAGTAACTTAAGACACATAATATAAAATCATACATCTAAGATGAGTTATTCAAAAAAGTGATGCCAAATAGAGCACACATGTGTATGTGTGTGGGAAGGATATTTGATCTTAAATACTTGTATCTTAAATTAACATCATGTGGATACTTTTGCACTTATTTAATAAAGAAAGAGCATACTTATTCAAGATGTAGATATAGCTTTATTTTAATGGACTGCTAGTGAAGGAAGTCTGCAACTAAGGTTTCTCACAAGTATAATGGCAACGACTGCTATTTTGCCAGGCACATGAAATTCAGATTGTGGAAACTGTAATATTCTTCAAAGTTTTAAAATACTAAAATGAAAGTGTTAGATTATAAACTAACACTTTCATTTTCACTTTTTTATTATTACTTTTACTATTATTATTATACTTTTAGATTTCACATTTTAGATTATAAGTTAACACTTCAGAGAATATTTTACCATTACAAATTTAAAAAGAAAATAAAAATATAAAATACTATAAAATTAAAAAAAATAATTGCATGCTCATGTTCAGATTTCAGTTCAATACTTGAAAAAATTTTAAGCTACATAATACCGATAGGTTTTCTAGTTTAACATTCAATTCCTAGAAAATTAAGATAAAGCAATACTAAAAATAGTATATATAATGAAAAAATGGTGACCTCCATAAATTATTCCCACATGGACACTTTCACACATTTATAGTTTTTAAAAATACCAATATATATATATACCATATGAAAACGATTATTAAAATAGCTTCTCTAGGTTAAAAAGGAACAAAATTTTTACAATCATCATGAAGTATATTGCAATGAAAATAAAAGCAGAATTAATGAAAAAAAATTCTTCTTCAGGCCTCAATAAATTTTAATTGAAAAAAAAATTTGATAAAATTATAATTTCCAACACCCCCTTTTTCCTTCAGTATTATGGCAAAACTATCATATTATACTGAGTATACTAAATTAAAACATGTAGTTACATGTTCATGTTAGTCATAAAAAGAAAGACATAATTCTTTCTATTCATAAGCTTTATAAAATAGTGCATAATGGTAAATTCATATCAAAAGTACTAGATTTTTATTGGATTAAAAAAAAAGGTTTTTACATGTCTAGATTTGAAATTTAATTATTAGTCAATAAAATTTTAATGATAGTTTTATTAATGCTTATAACATACCACAGTACAAAAGCAATAGTATAGTAAATACGCACCCTATTCCTTTGGCAACAATATCTAGTTGCCTGCACATAAAACCTCGCACTTCAAAATCAACATCTTGACACAGAGATAAAACAACTGGTAAGACTTCTTTCATTATTCTAAAATTAAATGAGTTAAATAATTAAAGACATCTAAAGCACATTTAATCATAATTTCAAAAAATTGAATTGTTATGCATACAGAGAAAAACTATTAAGTTACTGTCTAAATATTTCTAATATGCAGAGATTACTTTTCCAGGTGAGCAGTTAGTTACAAGTAATTCAGTTAGGTAGTTAGATATCCTTAGTAAATATAGATTTACATGGCCACTATTAGATTTTATTTATTTAAAAAAAAATATTTGTTAAAAAGCACTATTAAAATCAGAATCTAATAACATTTCACAGTTTAAAACACATGTAATTTATGGCATTGATTCTTAAATGATATTAGGATAACTACACATTAAAAGCTACAAAACATTTACATTTTATAGCAACAACACACAACGAAATATTTATGCGCTTTTTTTTTTTTTAAATTTTATTTGAAGCCCTTGCAGACATTTTGGCTAATTTATATCAATTGTATTGTAATTTATATCAATTGTATTGTATACTCCTAAAGTATTTTTCCTAACAATTAGAAATTTGTTTCAATGCACAAATAGCGTACCCACTAATTTCTGTGTGCTTTATCTCCTAACCTGTCAATCTCTCAACAATGTACCCAATGAGGTTTCACTTGATCTAGCAAAAGTTAAATAGTCCAAAATTCCTGATGGACGTAAAGCAAAACATCACCATGTCTGAAAGTAACTACAAAATTACAGAAAGCTTTAAATAAACCTCTTATTAAAGAGAACACAGAACATAAATGCACATTCTTACAAAATCAACTACAGCTTATTGGGATGCAATTAACAGGAACAGTCAAACTAAAAATGTAGACTAGTAGTTAAAAGACTACAATTTAATTTTAATCTAAGCTGACTCAGTAACTTTATCATTGTAACAAATTTAAATGTCAGCAGCGAATGCAAAGACGAATAATTAAAAATTGTCAGAGCTGGCAGGACCTAATGCAGCATGCAAGCAGAGGCCAAAAACACACTCCGTCTTACAATCCAAAAATCACAGTTTAAAAACTATCTAACTGATTTGCATTCTGGTGAAGAAACAGAAAAGGGAAGTTATAGTAAAGGCTGAAATTATAAACAAAAGGTTAATTTACATAATAATAACAGAACATGTCTTTGAAAAATAATTTTCTTTCTCTTTATGTAATTCAGTACCTTTCTTCAATACGTTTCAATATATTCAATAGAATTCTTCAACACATTCATTTTAGAATTTCTGGATTTCATTAGAGGTTTCTGTTATTCTAGAAAACTATATGCATTCAGAATGCATAATTTTATTTCTTTAGTAATATGAAAAGTCAGGATAAATATGAAATGATACATGGTCAAGGCCAGTAGTTAAAGAGCCAGTCAGTGTGGCAGAACTTTTTAGAATTTAATTATGTTCCAAGCAAAATTTTTAGAATTAAGGGCAGGCACTAGGAGCAGAATTTACGATCCACAGAGATTGCATCAAGTGTGAAAATGCCTAGTGCCAACCCTATATATGATGCAATGAGACATATAACATGAATCTGTTAAATTGTCAGTTTTCAATTTCTTTATTAATAGAAAAATTCCTTTCTATAAATGTCCGTCCATGTGGTAAGATTAGAAACATTTTTGATATTTTCCATGCTTGTGTCTAGTGGAAAGCAGAGAAAATAAAGGGAAGAAAAACATGTTATAAAATACTTCTAGGAGAAGAGATAAAACATTAGAATATTATGTTTTCATTAATTTTTCCAAAAATTTTGCAAAAAGCAAGAAATTCATCACAAACATTCTGTAAAATACATCAATTAGATATTAATATCATGAAGACATTTTTTTTATTTTGTCACATTTTTCTGGAATATTCTAGAATCATGGGTCTATAAATCTTGCTTTTGAGTCCTTCTAAACTTTCAAAGTTGCAATGTCTAAAATCCTAAAGAAAAATTACCCCTACCAATTCTCTAACAGCAAAAAGCCAATAATAATAATAATAATAATAATAATAATAATAATAATAATATAATAATAATAATAAAGAGGGAAAAAGTGTAAAATTAATTTTACAGAGAAAATTGATTCCTATTCTTAGAATTCTGACTATCCTAAGACAATTACATGGGAAAAACTCTTACCATGAAAAAACTACTAAAGAGAATACATTTTAATTAATTATGTAGCTTATTTTGATTTTGCTAAAAATTATTTCATAAATTGTGCTTCATAACATTTATTACCTTCTTTATTTTTCAGATTGAAAAAAATGCATAATAGGTAGCCAAAATGGAAAGTAATGTAACTTTATAATATGACAGCGAAAAATAAAAATGTTTCCTTTTAATGTTATTTCATAAATATAATTTCAATATATTACCATTATTTTAATGACATTTATTAATATTATAATGTTTTAAAAAATCGTCAAAAAATTCTACGAATTAAAAATTTTCTATAGAAATTTCTCTTAAATTGCCAAAAATATTGATAAGCCGCCAAATTTGAAACACTTTGATAAAAGAATTGACATCTCCAGAAGCGAAATGTTGTTTAAGAGGTCTGCATCAGAAAAAATGAAATAATTTCAAAATTCTTATATTTCACTTCTTGCCCAGAAACTCAAGTATGCTACTATTACATTAAAATAGGAAAAAATTCCTATCCATTCAAAAGCTAAACATATTTATCAGTGAAAAGGCAAAATATTCCTCCAAAATTCTAATTTACACTCAAAATGGCAGTCATCAAAACAGACAGAAATTTAACAGATGATTAAAATTACAGATCTTCTGCCGATTTCAGCCGAAATTAAGGACTCAAAATCGATTCCAAAAAACATAGGGACAAGTAAGCACTATGGGCCATACGAACCTTGCTTACGAATGGATTTGTTCATGAATTTTGGGGAATGGGCTCTGATTGGTGAAGTAACAACAGCAAAGATCTTCAACAAAACGAGGTATTTGATGGGAACATGGAAAGACAAACTGAATGATGACAATGGTCACGACTTGAGGTCACACAGATAGCGGTGCCAGCAGCATTAAACTATTCGAGGTGTACGGAGTAGCAGTCAACAACAATAACATCAGATTCAAGATACAGGGAATAGAAATGAAGTATGAATGTAATATAAGAAATGGATTAAATGTTAATATTACTATGCATTCTAACTGGAATGTAGATTTCTTTTAAATAAATAATATCATGATAGTTTCATGATAGATCAGATGTTTATCGATGAATATTTTTCATTTGGTATGTTCTTATTGTAATTGTATCAATTTGAAATTAAATTTTTGTATGATAAACTAGCAAAAGAAAGGGGGGTAAATATGTTACACGTTAAACAACTTTAACAAACATGAAGCTCAAAATACAAATATTTTTATCATATGTAAAAAACATCACTTCTAATGATTAAAATTAGAGTGTGTACCATCATATTAAGTGCCTGAGTAGCATGACTGCTTTTACACAGTCATGAGATTTTTTGTCATTTGATATACACTCAAGAGCCAAAACATTATGACCAGCCCTATATTTTGCTATGAACACGCCTGGATGACGTGGAAGGCAGGTGATCAGGTGGAAGGGGTATTTACCTGCTGCTGGAGAGTCTGAAGAATCCTTCTTTCACTTACTTCTGTGTGTGAGGGGAAAGGCTGCAGATCTAAGCGACTTTGATAGAGGGCAGATTGTAATGGCTCGAAGGCTCGGAACAAGTATTTCCGAAACTGCATGACTCGTGGGTTGTTCGCGATCTACACTTGTTAGTACATATGAAAAGTGGATGAATGACGGTGAAACCAGCAGTAGACGACATGGTGTTGGACGTCCACACGCTCTCAAAGAAAAAGGTCATCGGAGACTGTCTCGCATGGTGAAGCAAAACCGGAGTCAGACAGTGGCTCAGCTGACAGCCGAATACAATGCAGGGCCAAGTAGAAAAGTACAGGAGCACACTGTTCAGCAGACACTGTTGGATATGGCGTGTGCCTTTGCTGACCAAGCATCATTGCCAACTGCGCCTGCGCTGGGCACGGGATCATCGCGACTGGTCCATGGATCAGTGGGAGGGAGTTGCCTGGTCAGATGAATAACGGTTTGTCATTCATCAAGCCGATGGCCGTGTCAGAATACGCCGTCTTCCAGGCGAACAGTTGCTCCCTCAATGCACAGTAGGTGCTCAATCACAGGCTGGTGGTGGCGGTATTATGCTCTGGGGGACGTTCGCTTGGGCGTCCTGGGACCCGTGGTTGTGGTAGAGCAGACCATGAATGCTACAGGGTGTCTGAACATCATTGCGGACCAGTTGCACCCTTACATGGCCTCTGTTTTCCAGATGGAAATGGAATGTTCCAACAGGACAGCGCCCGTGTCACAAGGCTACATTTGTGTTGGAGTGGTTCCAGGAACATGATGCTGATTTCCAGTTAACGTCCTGGCTGCCTAACTTACCGGATCTCAATCCGATAGAACACATTTGGGATGTTACGGGACGGCAGCTCAGAGGTCAAAGACCACCAATTCGCAATATCTCGGATTTGCGTGACCGTTTTTACAACATCTGGTACAATCTGTCTCCGGCCATCTGTCAAGGACTTGTGGCATCCATGCCATAGCGGGTTGAAGCTGTGTTGCGCGCCAAAGGTGGCCCAACTCGTTATTTACAGGTGGTCATAATGTTTTGGCTCTTGAGTGTATATTACCTTATTATTCAAAATATTTTGTTTTCTTATTTTCCTTAGTGGTCTAAATGTTATCTTAATAAATGAAAATTATGAACACATAAGCTAAAATAATAATTTATAAAAATTTAGCCAAAATTGTTTTTTTAAATACCTTCATAAGCAGATAGGAAAAGCCATGTCACTGAGAAGATCAAATGCTAGAGCAATTGATGCATATTTAAAATTTAAAAAAAATATATCTTACATATATGGGTCAAATTTCATGCATATTTTCCCCAACATTTTACAACATAATAAGCGAGACGAAATAGGTTGAGAGAGTTGGCCTTTATTCACAGCAAGAGTCAATATCTGTTTAGAAGAAAAGAACATTACACTGGGAAAATAAAATATCACATACATCAAATTAATGATTTTATAAATTAATTCAGGTTTTTGCAAATGCCAATATACAGCAATTAAATAAATAGGAATTTACTTCTCCTTTCACAACTTCTTTAGGTAGGAGGTCTATGACATCCAGGAGTGTCTCCATCCAAGCATTGGCAACAACTGACAAGCAAAAGAAAATCTTCAGAAAATTTTTGCAAATAAATTATTTAAAATTAAATCATAAGTTAAAGGATAATGTCTCCATTTATGCACCCCCAGCTGAAGCTTTTTTGAAAATTATCCCATTTCTGCCTTTCTGTGTTCACAATCCATGCAAAAGTGAAAATGCAGACTGTAATGAGATTGTCACGAGTAAATGAAGTGATGCCACAATGACGCTCATTAAATGCATTCAGACATTGTTTAAATTCAGTATGAATATCACAAGATGGTATTGCTTGATAAAATCAGTGGAAAAACATTTCATGAAATGTATTTCATAAAATGATTAGTAGAAGTAGTAAAACAGCACATGATAAAGCACATGCTATGGTTTTGTTCAGTCTCATTATTTGAACACTTACTTCCCTTCCAAATCTCTATTCCCCCACCCACCCATACATACACACACAACAAAAAAGGGGGAGGGGGAAGCTGCAATACCCCCCTTTTTTCCCCTTCAAATCGTGAACATCTGTAGAAGAAAAGAAAAAGTCTAAAATGTGGCACAATTTTTGTTTTATTGCCACCTACAGATACCTTGAAGACTGAAAAAGGAACATCCCCAATTACAGATTGAATAAACTGTGCACTAGCAAAATATTTACTAAATGTAATTCATCAATCTATCAGCTAATGTACTTAAGCAAAACTGAACACAACAACTCTAATAAACGATAAGAACAACTATAATTCATTCATCATTTGGCATAAATTTAGAAAAAATATGAAGCGCAATCAAAGATAAACCTGCATAATTTTATAAAAATTTACTGCTTAATTTTTTCAATACTTAAAAATTAAATTTCTCCAACTTATAAAAAATATATTAAATAAAACAAAAACTAAAGGCATTAACATATTTCTCTTTCAATTTGGAATTCTTCTATTATGAAACAGAGAAAGAACGAAGTAAAAAATGAAAAGAAATACAAGAAAAACATTTCATATGATTCCATCATTATTTAACATAGTTAACTTAATAATTTAATACAGACCTGGATCCGAGCTGTCAACACTGGATAAAATACTCTGTAAAAATGTCTGGGTAAATGTACTCGTAGGGAGTAAATCTTGATTGAGCAAAGAGATAAAATTTTTTGATGGAAATTTCTCTTCTCCAAAACAACGGAAGACATCATTCTGTAAAAATGAAGGTAAAGAGTATAATGTACAGTAATTATACAAAGTTGTTGCTTTCATAGAAACTACTTACAGACTGCTTCTTTACAGGTAATACAGATGAATGCTTACTTGCATACTTGGATTGAAAATTGGAAATCCATCTCGGCAGTTTTCAGGAAATACTCCAGAGTTTTGCAAGGCTTTCAATTTTTCACTGTGTTCAGAACTGTGCAAAAAGAAAAAGTAAGAATTTAGTGTTTTCAGACATAATAACCTTGATAGAACATAACAAAAAATGAAAATCATATAAAATGCATAAAATCTTACAAAATACATATTGCTAAATCAAACAAAAGAAAAATTTCCTTTTCCAATATTAATGTGCTTGGTATTTATCATCTGCGGCATAAATTTGCATGTTTAAATGTCAAACTGCATCATTGAAATACACCTATTCCTCGATTTACAGGGAAGATAGGTTCCATACAAAACTGTGTAAATTGAAATCTTGGATTTTATTATTAAAATTATAAAAACATACTAAATGTGCACAATTAGTTATTTATTTACATAAAATAAAAGTAAGACATCTTAAAATAAATAAAGTTTGTTCATAAAATAACAAATATATGTAGGTAATAGAAGTATATATTTAATTTATTTTACATTAGGAAAATATAAAATCATTCAAAAATTATTATAAGTTTAATCACTTTCATGAACTATTAATCTTTTCTTCTTGATTGGTATGATGTCACTTCATCACTTGAGCATTCTAGGTAAGATTCTGCTTAATGGTTGACAAATTAGGGAAGATCTCAGATCAACAAGACTTTGCAGTGAAATTCGTATTAAAGAATTGCATTGTTTTTTTTTTTTTTTTCCTTAAATCTTTGTAAACCTCCTCATATTGATTTAATCACTTACTAAGCTCCCGATGGAAACTGAAAGCTCATTCAACATTCATGTTATATTGTAAAAAATAATTACTTAATATTCTTCCCAATTCAAGTCCTGCCCTGGTAACTCTTGCTGCGTATGTAACTGGTTCAGGTTAAGAAATTATTTCTTCAACATCTGAGCTGAATCCTCAGAACCTTGTCCTCCTATAGTTTGGGCCAATTTAGTGATCTGAGAATATTCACGCTTTAATGGTAATCTATCATTCTCATCTTTAGCAACATACATTTCTTCCAAGCATCCATAAAAGTAAGCAATTCATCATTCTCTATTTGTTCTAAAATATATCTGAAGGTTTGTTTGATATACAGTACCTTAAAAGTCGAAATTATTCCTTGATCTAATGGCTGTAATAAGAAAGTTGTATTCTTTGTTTTTTACCAAAGAATACAACTTTCTTATTACAGCCATATTCAACTTATTAGCCATATTCTTATTACAGCCATATTACAACTTTTACATATTCATGTTGTAAATCTTGATGATGAGCAGGTGCATTATCAATTAATAGAAGAGCCTTAAAAACAATCCCTTTTTACTTAAATAATTTTTGACATCTGGGACAATTATGTTATGAAACCATTTATTAAAAGCTATATTAGTGACCCATGCTCTCTTTTTAGCCATCCAGTAAACAGGAAGGTTATTTATGTTCATTCCTTTAAATGAGTGTGTCATTTTTGAATTGTTGATAACCAATGGCATCATTAAATAATCGCCTCAAGAGTTGCAACAGGAAAGAATTGTTATAAGACTTTTCGCTATCTTATGACCACTAGCTGATTTGCAAGCTTTAGGCTAAATAAGTTCTTTCAGGCATTTTTTTCCAGAACAACCCAGACTCATCAGCATTGAAGATCTGATCAGTGAGGTGTAGGAGTTGGCAGCAGTGATTTTAGCAAATTTTGCTGGATATTGTTATGCTGCATCCAAATCAGCAGATGCACTTTCTCCTTTCAATCTTAAATTGTATAAGGACTGTCTTTGTTTAAATCTCTCAAACCAACTATGACCTGTGGAAAAAGATGCCTTTTTTTCATCTGATGAAGTCGAAGGTGACTGATTCTGAAGTGCTTTATAAATCTTTAAAACTTTATTTATAATACAGTCAAAAGTCGTTAATCCGGACACCCATAATCATCTATAATCCGGATCTCAAAGCTACAAACTTTCTGCGCATGTGCATAATACGTTTACGCATGTGCGTTTAATGTATAACAGATGGTATAAGCTAAGCTAAAATTATCTAATTATCTATTTCAGTTAATGTTGCAGATTGCATTGTTCCTTAACCTTCGAATCGGATCCAGCTTATTCTATTTATTATTTTTTGCAGACTGTTAGAGCAATTTTAAAGTAAGTTGGAACTTTCGATTATGTCAAATAGAATTTCCGATGCTGGAGCTGCCAAAGGATCTACAAAGGGAAAGCATGCTTCGATGTTCATCAAACAGAAAGTGGAATTGCTGCAAAAAAATGGATAAAGGTTCCTTTGTTTCTCTAACCATTCCGAAATCTGTTTATTAATTTCACGCTGCTCTGCGCGGGGGGAGGACATCGCGGCGCGCAATGAACTGAAAGTTGATCTGTCAGCACTATCCTTATCTTCAGGGCAGATGTTTTTATTTTACTTGGCTTATAATTCCTTACTAAATGTAGTATTTCACCTCGATGTACTCCGTCTTTGATATGATTTAAATCAAATTCCTCGTCATTATAAATATCACAAATACAAAACAAATAGTTATTAATTTCGTCTATGCGTAATGTATGCTTTACGCATGCGCGCGTTGAAAGAAATGTTTAATAAAGTAAACAAATAAATATTAAGCTTTTTTTTTGCGTAAATTTCGGTACCCTTTAGATGATAATTGCTCTTTATTTCATAATTTTAATTTTATAATTTCTGCATGTCATCTTACCAGATTTAAACTGATGATCTATAATCCGGAAAAATCGATAATCTGGAATCGCCGAAGTCCTGACGAGTCCGGATTAAAGACTTTTGACTGTACATGTATTTGTGTATATGCAGCCGAATATACATTTTTACCAAGTTTTTGAAATCCGTTAATTTTTAAACCATGTAAAACCGAAATTGTGTAAAATGAGCACCGTGTAAATCGAGGGATAGGTTTAACACATTTTAGAAGAATATATTTGGTAATTCATGGCTCTTACAATTTTCTTTTAAGTCATAATAATTCTATAAAATTTTTTAACTTTAATCAGTTTATTACTTCCTTTTAAAGTAACTACACGGTAAGTTTGATCCAATGCTAGATATTTGTTTCGTTTTTATTTTACCTATCATTTCATGCCATTTCTTAGAGTAAGAATTTCTCATTATACGAATTTGTAAATTTGATCTATATTGCAGTTTTTAGTGTACATTAGTATGCGGTCAGCTACCTAGAACACTGAAACTTATGAAAAAGGAAAAATATATAATGATTTTATTGAATCTTATGAAAAAGGAAAAACATATATGATTTTATCGAGTCCAGCTAGCCTAATTTCATTAAAAGAAAAAGTGAAAAGTTTCAGATTTTAACAGTCGCTGCTACTAACTCCCCCCCCTTTAGTGTAGGATTGTGTTCCTTCATAATGGTCTGATGGGAAAGCAAAAATTAAAATGCTGTTTGAGGTGCACACGACTGTTTATATCTCCGAAACTACAAATGCTACAATCAATCTAAACACATCATTAAATAGATGAAAGAGCACATTAGGAAACACACATAAAAAATTAAAAACTGGACAAAGGCTATATGCACAGGATGCAAAATTTAGATCATGGCAAAGCTCCGCCTGACATGGCGCATGTCCGACAGCATATGAGTGGCAAGGTCAGACAGCCGTACGTAAACATTCAATGTGTTGATGGTGTTTGCTGTATTTTATTTCGTCAAGCTAGTGGTGTTGCGAATTACTGAAATTTGATGAGCATAACACATTATGCATCAACAGAATTTACTGTTATGCAGCGTAAGAGAATACAGGATTCAGAAGCAGGCGATATTTGTACGGTTATTGTTATTGTTCACAGACAGTCAAGATTTATTCTAGCACCCGTATATATTCATTCAACTGTTAATTCAGAAGATCTGAAGATGCTCTGGTTTAGTGCATTGAGGAAATATTCTAAAACTGTTTTATTGATCAACTGATTAATGAAGAGATAGATACTGTAGATACAGATGCTCCTATTATGATGGAAGATTTAAATGTAGCCGTAAAACGAAACGGAAACGCATTTAATTTTATGAAACATCATTTCAATCTCAGTATGGTGCCAAGTAACTATACAAGTATACTTAGCAGTTCAACTGTACATTTAACATTTACTAGGAATATGTTTGCACACTGTTAGAATCAGGCCTCAGTTGTTATCTTTTATTCACAGTTCGACATTCTATGTGTGGCAATCATCTGATCTTTTTAAGTCCAAAGGGGCAATTTGCCCAGAAGGACTATTAATTTTGTTTTGGCATTTTGTGTTGATTCACTACAAGCATTGTTTCAAATGGTTTCAATTTCACCAAATATTATCACCCTGCATAATATTTAAAGAAATTATAAAGAATCTGAATAAATGTATATATGTTTCTCGCATTGTGATAAAACAATGGTACCTAGATGTAAAACTTTAATGAATTTATGATTAACAAACTCAAGGATTTCAAAGCCAGCAAGCAATGGCAACGTTGTACAGAAAAAACAAAAAAACACTTTTATCTCTAGTGCGCAAGACTGTGTATCGGAAATTCTAAAGAGATGCTCATTTTAAAATTATTTCGCGATATTGCTCTTGAACAGAATTTTATGGTTTAAGTGCGAAGAACATGACATTTAATAAATAAAGGTAACACACAAAATGTTAAAAAAAGCCCCTTGTAATTTAGGGGCAATTTGCCCAGAAGGACTATTAATTTTGTTTTCGTATTTTGCGTTGATTTACTCCAAGCGTTGTTTGTAATTTACTGTTGTTCTACGACTTATGAAAATAAACATGATGCTTTGGAATATTAGATGTAAAACTGTTTTAATTTAAATTTATGGGAAAGGAGAAGGTTAGTTCTTGCAAATCTCGAACAACTGCTGACGACAGACATGATCAGCAAAAGAAGTCAAGGTCAGAATTTTATTGGTTTTATTGAAATGGAATCGTTAATTGAGAAACGAAAACCTGTCAGAGCATCTATTACGAAAACAGTTAATGCAATTGTGCAGGAATTAGAAAAGGAAATTCCTCATGAAAAATCT